GAAAGAAAGAAGAGCTCCAATCGATGTAGTTATCAGCCATAATTCCAGAAGACTGATGATGAAGAAGGTGGCAGCTAGGTGGCCAAATGGAAAGGTCATTGGACCTGGAGACAAGCAGACCTGAGTTCAAATCTGTACTCAGATATTAGCTGTGTGACCGTGATCAAGTCATTCAATCTCTATTGGCCTCAATTTTCTGACTGTAAAAATGGGGATACTAATGGTAGCTACTTCATAGGATAAAATGAGATAGTGAGGACAGAATGAGATGATATTGTGAGGACAAAATATAACTAGGGAGAAGATGAGATAATATTTGTAAAGCACTTAGCACAGTGCCAGACATAGATTAAGTGCTTGATAAGTACTTGGTCTCTTCTCTATTACCCATCTCCTGAAAGAGAGGTGATGGAATAATATATAGAATGAGACGTGCATTTTTGGACATGGTCAATATGGGTATTTGTTTTGTTTGACTATACTTATTTGTTTACAAGGCTTTTTTTCCTTTCTTTTTCTTTTTTTTTTCAGTGTGGAGAGGGGGAAGGTGGGAAGGAGAAAAAAATGCTTGACAATTAAAAATTAATTAAAAACCCAAACTAGAAGCCTCTAAGCTAGATAATGTTAGGAATGTCCTCAGAATGACCATTCTAAAGGATCTGAGTATTTATAAAGAAAATACTTTTGAAGAAATGGAAGTCTGCTGATAAAACACCTTGCATTTATTCTGTTATGATAGATTGCTTAATTTCCCTCTATAGATTGCTTAATTTCACTCTATCTGCAAAGTAAGTATCAATAACACGTAAAAAAATTGTGCAATGATATGAATTAACTTGTAGTTATGAAGTGATTTTGACTGACTTTTGGAAATTGGTCAGCACCTGTCACATTGGGAGACTCTGATTATAGAGAATATCAAAGTCTACCCATTACCCAGCCCAACCCCCTCATTTTGGAGATGAAGAAATGCTACAAAGTAGTTCATTAAGACTTTCATTTATTGAGCAGCAGGCATTCACTCAGCCCACCCTTCCCCATGGGAAAACTGGATTAGAGAGTTTTAAAAATGAGACATTTGTAGCAGACTTCTCTTTACACTCCTTTTCATTTGATTTATGTCTCACCAATATTGGAGTGGTTAGAACTGGAAAATGCTGCCCTGAATTTAGTGTTTCAATAAGAAAATGGCAGGTCAGATTCAAGCATAGAAAAGAGCCTCTAGAAATCTCTCAGTTTGTCTCCCTTCACGGCCCCAAACAAGAATACCCTAAAACTGATGGTTCATAGAATTCTTAACATGGGCACAGTAAGTATTAATAACTATTTAATACTGAAAGAACTCTAGGTAAGGGGGTCCATAAGGACATTGGTCACCTGGTCAGGCAGGCAGCTAGGTAATGCAGTAGATAGAACACTGGGCCTGGAGTCAGAAAGATCAAAGTTTCAAGACTGACCTCAGAAACTGACTGGTCATGGGACCCTTAGCAAATTCCTTAACCTCTGCTTCACTTTCCTCAACTACAAAATAGGGACAATAGTAGCCCCTACTTTCCAAGGTTGTTATGATGATCAAATGAGATAATATTTGTAGATGTGTTTAGTATGGTGCCCAGCGCATAATAGGTGCTTAATAAATGCTTATTTTCCCCTTCTCTGGTCCATTGTTTAACTATATACACCCTGCTGACAGGAAGAGAATTTATCTCGGACCTGAATCCCACCCATGTGTAGAAATTTAAGCTTGATCTTTAGATTAATTATTTCATCAGTTTTTTTTCCTTCTTTAGGCTAAACAACCTCATATCCCTTAACCCATTTCTCTAGGTTTTATTTAAAAAAATATAACACACTATGGAACTTTAAAGCTGTAAGGACTCTTAGAAATCATTTATCTAACCTCATTTTCCTGGTTGTAGATGCAAAACTGAGGTTAAGAAGGGGAGAAGGTAAAGTCAATCAGCACTTATTAAACATTTACTATCTTCAGTCTTTAGAATACTATCTTTATCTTTGTGATAAAGGATACAAGCTGAGGATACAAAGAAAGGCAATCCTGCCCCCTTCCGCCCCCCCCCCAAGAAACAAAAATAGCCCCTGCCTTTATTTTAAAAGCTTGTATTCTACTGGAGGATGCAACGTGCAAAAAAGAAAAAAAAACCAAAAAAACAAAAACCCGACCAACTCATACATACAAGATAAGTACAGTGTAACTCAAAGTTAATCTCACAGGGATGGCATCAGCAGTTGGGGACTGTGGGGACAGGAAAGGCCTCCTTCAGAAGTTGAGATTTGACAGTCTTGAAAAGTCTTGAAAAGAGGTCATACTTATGATGGAAAATGCCCTCCACATCCAGACGAAGACTGATTGAGTCTGAATGCAGATCAAAGCATACTATTTCACTTTTTTTTGGTGGTTTTTTCCCTTTTGTTCTGTTTCTTCTTTCACAACATGACTAATGTGGAGATATGTTTAACATGGTTGCATATATATACCCTGTATCAGAATGCTTACTGACTTGAAGAGGGGGGGAAGAAAAGGAGAAAAATTTGAAACTCAAAATTTTATAAAAATGAATGTTGAAAATTATCTTTTCATGTAATTTGAAAAATAAAATATTATTTACATAAAAAGAAAAGAGGTCATGGAAGCCAGGAGGTAGAAGTCTGGAGGGAGGTCATTGGGGACAGTCGATGAAAAGCCACTGAGATAGGAGGTAGAAAATGTGTGCCAGGAACAGTAAGAAGGTCAGTGTTGTTGGAGCCTAGAGTCTGCGAAGAATAAAGTATAAAAAGACCGGAAATGTGGGAAGGGCCAAGTTGTGAAAAACTTTAATAGCTGAGCAGAGTTTTATATTTGATCCTAGAGAAAAGAGAAAGGCCCAAGAATTTGTTGAATTGAGCAGGAGGCAGGTAATGACATGGCCAGGTCTGTGCTTTAGGAAGATCCCTTTGGCAGCTGAGTGGAAGATGGATGAGTGGGGAGACACTTGAGTCAGGAAGACTGACCAGAACACCATATAAAGGTCTCTATATAGTGGCAGCTTTGTGAGTGAAGAGAGAAAGATGTACGAGGGATGCTGTAAAGATAAAAATAATAAGATCTGGCAACAAATTAGGTGTGAGTGCCAGTGGAGAGTTTTGGCTGTGAGCCTGGGAGGATGGTGGTGCTCTTGAGAGTTGTTGCTCGTTTTCTAAGAGACCAGTGACATCATGAGGTGATGATGTGCACATGAATTGGATTGATGTGAGGCATATTTGCACAAAGTCATCAACCTCACTCTCTCTTCCAGAATCATCAAAGTCCAGCAGCAAGACAAAAGTCAAGATGACTGGTGATGGCCCAGGCTACAGTGGATGATTGTGATGTCTTTGGTGTCCAGCCAAGCTCTAAGTGCTCCCCAGTGCCTGTTTCAGTTGCCTTCATGGCCATTGGAACAAATTGTTATTATCTGCCCATTCCATGGGAGGACATATTCCCATGCTGAGGGCAGACATCCCCCTAACTCACTGATAGGTTTGAGGCTTGTCAGTTACTTTGAATTTGGTTTAGCCTGTCTGCTGAAATAGTTTTACCAGGGTGTGGTTGCAAGGCATGATATAGCTTCTTGGAGCTTCAGGTAAGAGCTGGGTGAGAGGTGGACACCAGAGGTGGATGAACAGCCCTGAAGAGGGCTTGGCAAGCCCTTGAGCTAGATGTGCTAGACCTCCTGAACACCTCATACACTCCACCCCACCCCACCTCAATAGTAACAGGGAATTGATAAAAGTCACTTGGTCACATAGTTGGAAAATTGCAGATTGTGACTAGGCTTCCATTTTTTGATTCCTGGTTTGGTGTTTTTTCCAGTGTACAGACATTTTTCCTCCCAAACTTTTTAAAAACTAATTTTTAAAAGTAAGTTTTAAAATATGTATCTATATTTAATTAATTAAAATATATTTAAAAATAGAAAAAAATGAACCTGCTCATTACTAACAAAAACAATTTAATATACAAAGGACAAAGAAAGAATGCTGCATGTGAAACCATGATATTACACCAACTTTTTAATCATTTTCATTATCCTTCTCTGGACTTTTTTAGTTTGACCATTTCCCTGTAAGATAATATATCTTTAAATGGGACATAGTCATCTAGTAAGGTCCTTATTATTACGGAGAAATCTGTGAGGGTGATTTTAGGATCCCTAAGCACTAATCACCATTATGGAGTTGGATATGAACTCAAGAAGACCTGAATTCAAATTTTGCCTCTAAAACCTACTTGTTGTATGACCATGGGGAGGTCACTTAATCTTAGAATTTTAAGCAATTCTCTAATACTGTAAGTTAGAGAGGGGTTTGTGGAGGGAAACTTGATCATGGATTTGGTGTAATCCTTTATATGTAAGAATACCAGAATTGCTGAAATGACCAAGATGAGAGCCAAACAACCTAGCATGCCTAGAATAGAACATACATAGCATTATGGAGAAAGCTTGCTCAGCTTTTACCAACATGCATGCCTTCTTCCTTCTGTTTATAGCGATGACACCGCAATTCTCCCAGTGAGCTAGGTTTGAAATCCTAGGGTATGTTTCCTACAATATTAGATCCTGAGTTCCTTGAGAACAGGCATTATTTTTGCCTTTGTATTTCTAGGACTTTTCTGCATCTGGTACTTAGAGATGCTTAATAAATCTTATTGTTTTGACAAAAGGATGCTTTTTCAAAATAGCTGGCATAGAAGAATGTATTTGCCAGCTTATCTGATGATGTTTGAATTTGTGCCAATATACAATTATATATATATATATCCTTCTTGCTTTTTTTAAAATCCAAATTGAAGTAACAGGACAGTGCTCCTAGGACCTCTCCCTGAGTTGTAACAGATAGCTCAGATGGGACTCATTGTCCTTAAATATAATCATCTATAATTTTTAGTAACCATGAATGATTGTTTCTCTTTTGATTCTTGCAAGGTAGGAAGATGAAGGAAAAATTGACCAAAAAAGGAATTGATCATCATTAGACTTTATTTTCAGTTTTCATGCAGCATTCTGAATAAAAAAGGCCAGGACTAAAACATCAGTAGAGAGAGTGTGGCACAGTGGAAAGTGAGTCAGCCTTTGAGGCAAGGAGACCAACTTCAAGACTGATGAAGACTGACTGACTGTTTGACCTTTGGCAAATTGCTTAATCTTTCTGTGACCTAGAGAGTTGCAGCATTGGTGGAGGGAATTTCCTCACTGGGAGCTCAGAGGTCTGGACAAAAAGACAACAGCAAGCAGGGGTATTGTTTTATGCATAATTACTGTAGGAGTTGGGCGCACACGAAATATTCTTCCATTTTGCTCACACTCTGTTTTTTTGATCCAGAGTCTTTGAAGTAGGTTACTCAAGAGACTTATTGTACCTGCCCCTTAAAGCTAAGGGTAATGTCATTAATCTGGTGATAGAGAATGATGAAATGTCTTAGCACTAATATCTGGGATACATAGGAGAGCAGATTTAAAGTTGGGAGGTATGTTAGTCAACCAGCCCATTTTTCAGATGAGGAAACTCAGGTCCAGAAAGTTTAAATAACCTTACTAAGGCCAGTTAGTCACAACAGCTGAGATTCAAGCCCAGGTTATCTGATTCTAAAAGCAAGGCCATTTCCCCTGAGTTATGGAATTTTAGAATGAATTTGGAAATTCTATTAGAAGAATAACTTATCTGTGCCCATGGATGAATAGCATACTTTGGTTGTGAAATAATAGTTCAGAAACTACTTCTCCATTGCCATCATTAAAAACCCTTTGATTCAATAACTTGAAAATACATGATTTGAAGAAACTGTTATCTTATGTAAAAAGAAAAAAGGAAAAAGTGTGTGTGGGAGAACCTCAAAATTTTTAGTGGAAAGGAATCCCCAGATGAAGGGATGCCCAAATGACCAGAGCCCATTGTGGACCACTCCATGTCATATTCTAGATTTAAAAAAAACTATTTACTTGGTTAGAAGATTTTTTTCCTTGATGGTAACTCCTAAGGCTAAATGTTTTGCTACTTGGTTTTGTAAAAATTCAGAATGGAGACTTAAAGGATGATGATGATGATTGTGATGATGATGATGATGGTGATGATGATGATGATGATGATGATGATGTATGTGTGTGTGTACGTTTGTGGGTGTTTGTGTGGTGGGAGCGGGGGTTGGGTGGGCTTTTGATAGGCAAAGGTCACTATTGACGGTTTCTCCCTGATAATAATCAATACTTTTTTGGGCTGCCATCTCTTTGTTATTGCTGGTCTTGCCGAGGCTGGCCATCTTCCCGTGACTGAGATGCTAGGGTCTCTTGCTGGCTGTCATATTCTTCATCAGGCTCAGGGTCCCCTACTTGAAGCCTTGGCTCTTGTCTGTAGCCACAGAGTGGATCAAGGGGGGCTGGGTGCTCAGAAGTCTTACTCCTCTGAGGTTCTCTCTCTATCCTCAATTCAGGGCCAAAGGCCTGAGTTGTATCAGTTTGACTTGGCCGCTCTTCGGGGGCTGGGAGGTCAGGCTGTGCAGGTGTCATCTGGACATTTTCATATACTGGGTTGGAATGTACCTCATCTCCTGAGGATGAACAAGGCTCTGTGTCTCTGGCTTTCCTCTCTACCTGCTCTGAGAGCCCTGATGAAGAATCATCCTCTTTATTTGCCACACGTTGTTCCCTCCCTTCTCCTGCTAGCCTCTGGGGGCTATTGTCTTCCCTCTTCACTGGATTCAGGGTATCAGGACTTGAATCCAGGGTGAGATCTTGTGTTTCTGGGTCCCGACCTTCTAATGGGGCTTCCTGGCTCTCAGAGTCTTCTCTTTCTTCTTTTTCATCTGGGCCATGAGCCTCTGGGTCTTTCCCTTGGTCTTTTCCCTCTGATTCCTGTACTATGGAAAGTTGCCCATCTTCATTATCATCTGCAGGATCTGTGATCTCTGTCTTTGGGGATGTTGCTGTTACCTTTTGTTTCATGGATTCCTGAGCCCCTTGCTGACTCTCAGACTCCTCTAGTGTGGCTGGTGTTTTAGCCACTGACGATTTCTTCTTCTTTTCTTCGGTGAGTTGTTCTAGTTCTTCTGTGGTATTCTCATTGTGTTCTCTGTCTATTGGCACCTCTGTTTTGGGGGTTCTACTTTTGTCATCTAGTATTGAGGATTCCTGGGGATTCTTGCCATCTTCTTGGTCAGGCTGTTCCTGGGCATCCACTTGTCTCCGGCAGTTACTTTGTGCAGGCAGGTCCCTTGGTGCTGAGCCACTCTCATCATCTCCGTGATTATTGTATGTTTCAGAGAGTGTCCCATCATTCTGATTCTCCACCTTGTGTCCATCATATCGCTCGCTTGGTTGGTCCAGAGTCTGAGTGACTCTCCCATATTTCCCTCCAGACTGGTTATCCTGCGGTCCTGATCCTTGCACCCTGTCTTTTGTTTCTGGTGTTCTCTCTGCCACAGAGGCACTCCTGTTGTCTCCTGAGAATTCTGGTTCACTTATTTCAGAAACTGTGACCTCCTCCTCTGACGCTGCTGGTCCTTTGTGTACAGGGTGGTTCTGATCATCTCCTGATTTTAAGTCTGGGGTTACAGAGTCTTTCCTAATGTCCCTGTCTCCTGCTAGTCCCTCAAGTTGCTTTTCCTTCCCATCAGGCTCTTGTTCAGTGAGGGTTTCCATTTGATTGTCTTCCTTATTTATTTTTTGCCCAACTGTTTCTGAGTTCTCAGGTTTTCTCTTCCCTTTCCCCTCATCTACAAGCACTTCTGTCTTGGCTAGTATGTCTTGAGTTTCATATTCTCTCTGTACTGGTGGCTCCTGGTTATCTGCAGTCCCATCATCACCCCTGCATTCTGCTAATCTCTTGGTTTCAGACAGTTTTTCCTCCACCCTCTCTGTTGACAGGTCAGTTGTCTCTGATTCTCTCTCACGATTCTCTTGGGATGATGGCTTTTGTGTCTCAGTGTGTTCCCCAGCCTCCTTAATGAGGGTCTTTTCTTGACTCTCAGATGCTTTCTGTGCTGTTTCTTCTGTGTGTACACTCTGAATCTCCATGTTTTGTTGCTCTTCCTGTTCTGCTGGCTGATCCCTTGTGTTTGTGCCACCTTGCTCTCTGGACACTTCATTTCCCTCATTTATACTCTTCTCCTCCTTTTGAGAACAGGCTCTCTTCACAAATTCCTTGGGCGACCTTTTTTCTTCAGGCGGGACTTGATCACCTCCTGTTGCCTGGACTTGCATTCTTTCTGGGCTCTGCTCATCTCCTTCACCTTGGAATTGACTCTTAGGGTGGTTGTGTTCAACTTCTCTTCCCAGCAATCTGGGAGTCTCAAGATCATCCTGAGGGTCCTCCTTGGTTAGCGTGTCAGGTACTTTTTCTATGGGGTTGACCAGAGATGGAGATTCAGTACCTGTCAGTCTTTGCTCATATTGACCCAGTCCTGCTTCTTCTTGGTAGTGTTCCCTGGTCTCACATGATTCCACATCCCTTGACGACTCTTCCTCTGTATTGGATTCTGCTTTAGGTTCCAGATTTAGGAAAGATTGTATGTCTTGGTAAACCATATCCATCATGTCAAAGACCAGGAGGAGAAATTCATTGAAGTCGATGGAATTATCGCCATCTCTATCCAAAAGATTTGAATTGGTTCCTGCAGTAAGAATATCAAATGGCTATGGGGAGAAAAAGCAAGAAAGTAGTTTATTAATGGGTAGTCACATGTCTAGCACAACTTTTAGATGAACACTAGCACTTGGAAATAGCCAGAATTTCCCTGAGTGTTTAAAATGGCAATGTGGAAAGTGCCTGGAATTTGGAACAAGAGGACCCTAGTAAAATCTTGCATCAGTCACTTGCTTGGGTAACCTTGGGCCATTCAATCTCTCGGGGTCTTGGTTTCTTCATTTGTAAAATGAGGGGGTTGGACTAAGTGACTTCTTGGTTCCCTTCCGGCTTCAAATCTATGATCCTAAATAGGATTATAGCGAAATAGAAACCTTTTCACTTTATGTTAAGTTGAATAGATTGTTTTGGACCAAAGACACTCAGTGGTCTCCTGAGAAGGTACCTGACTTCCTGAAACAATGGACAGTCTAGCAGAGCAGGTTATTGGTTGTTTTTTAAAACAAAAATTTACATAATCAGCAAAGTGAGTCCATAGAGTAAAACTGATTTAACAAAAATTATTTCCGGTTCTATAAGCACAGGTAATTTAGGAGGAGGAGTGGAATGAGGAGGAAATCACTTATGCCTTTGTAAATGAGTGCCCATCTTGGCCCAAGACAAGAAGAAAGAACAAGATCTTTCTCTTTTGTAGCACTTAATAGTTCTCACCTTGAGAAACTCTCCAATCTCCCCCAGGAGGAGCTGCTTTAGCTGTTCCGAGCTTAATGTCCAACAATCACCTTCCTTTCTTGCATATTTTTTGAATGTCTCGATGACACAAATGACACCTTGTAGGAGTTGAGGCATTTTCACCAGTTTAAGACAAGCTGAGAGAGAGAGAGAGAGAGAGAGAGAGAAGGTAGAAACAAAAGCTATTCTTCAGATTGGGTTCCTTAAGAAAGAGATGCCAAAATTGTCATCTCTCTTCCTTGTCCCCTCCTCACCCAGTCTCCCATTTCCCTTTTCTAGTCTGCTTGTAAATATATACAAGTATAGTAGCTGAACCCAGTGTCCATTTTCTTTAATGAGACATTGGGGATTTTTCAGTTGTGTCTGCCTCTTTGAGACCCCATTTGGGGTTTTCTTGGCCAAGATACTGGAGTGGTTTGTCGTTTCCTTTTCCAGCTCATTTTACAGATAAGGAAACAGGGTTAAGTGACTTGCCCAGGGTCGTATAGCTAGTGAGTGTCCGAAGCCAGATTTGAACTCAGCAAGAGGAGTCTTCTTGATTCCAGGCCTGGCACTCTATCGATTGTACCATCTAGCTGCCCTGAGATAGGGGCTACAGGTATTATTATCATCATTTTACAAATTTGGAAACTGAGGCTCAGATAGGCTCAGAGTGCCTATGGTCACACAGTGGCAGAGGCAGGATTCCAACCCAGTTCTTCCCGGTATAAGTTCAGTGCTCTATCCCCTATGCAAATGGTGGGCCTTGTGTTCAACACCTCTGCAGTACCATGTGGCCTCTTCCATGACAAGATTACTAATAGCTAATATTTATATGGCACTTTAAGCTTCTCAACATGTTTTGCATTTGACTAATAAGATCAGGGATGATGGTTTAGGAGAAGAATAAAGATCTTTCCTCTCCTGGCTGAGACTTCCTGCCCAAAGGAGCTCCTGGCTCCATGGGACAGTCAGCTTTCACAGAGAAGGTGCTTCTTGAATATAGCTAGAAAAACATTAATTGTAACATCAATGATCTAAGCCTCCCTTTATCCAGATAAAAAGACAGGTAAAGGGAAACATCAAACAAACAGTTTAAGGCTGTTTTTTCAGAAAGCACCTGCTTGTGTTTGAAAGATGTTGTGATAAAATCACCTGCTGATCAAACAGGGCCAGTCCTAGCCCCTGAGTCATTATAGCCCCATGCCCAACCATCATTTAAATGACTTTAATCTAAAAATTTTTATCTGTGTGTGAAACAAAGTGATCCAACTTGTTTTGCTAAATATTTGTACCTGTGTCAGCCAAATAGTTTAAAATACTTTTTTGAAACTTAAAAGGCCCAAAGGAATGCTGGAAAGAGCAGTGGCCTTGGAGTCAGAAGACCTGAGTCTGAGCTTCGGAAATGTCATTTATGAAGTGGGGGGACCTTGAGCAAATCTCCCATCCTCCCTGCTCTCAGTTTCCTTGTTTATAAACTAGAGATAATAATTATATTATTTATCTCACACGGTTGTTGTGTAGACCAAATGAAGTAATAATATCTCTAAAACATCCTGTGACTATGAGGGGCTACATAAATGCAACATATTTCATCATTGTTACCATTTTTACAGTAATTATTATTGTATAGACCTCAACCATTGTACTCACCAACTTAGTATCAGTAACAAAAGCATGTAATGATGTTTCCTTAGTTTTTTCCCACTTTTTTTTTTAACAGAAAAGCAATGTACTACCTGGGATGTTAAAGGTGCCCTCTCCCCTACCCCCCCTTCCCCAGTAGAAAAGGGTTGAAACTCACCTCTTTCACCAACAGGAAGAAGTGGTATGTGGAGCAGCCGTTGGCAGACTGATGGCTGGACACCTGTAACCTTTTATTCAGTCACTAATTGCACATGGGAGATAGGAAGGAGACACCCTCTGGGTCTGATGACCTGATTCATCACCAACCAAGCTCAGCCCTACTCCCTCTCCTTCCTTTTCTACAGCCAGGCTGCCCAATTTACTATTTCCTTCTCTGTGATGCTTCAGTTAGACTCAGGCATGAGCCTTATCCAGTGGAAGGCCAGGAGCACTGATCAATCTTGGGTTCGATTTTGCCAGAGGCTGAGGATTGCAACTGTGGGCTTTGGGGTAGTGTTTGGGGTAAGGTGTTGGCTACTATTAGTTTAACCCAAGGACCCAACAGCATTTCTATTTGACAGGTCATAGGACTATCAGGGACTTTAGAGGTCATCTGATCCCTCCCTGTGCCTCCAGGATGGCACATCTGACCCAGCCCCAATAGAAGGGTGTCAATCATGTGTTTAAAACAAAGGACCTGCTTTGCCATGTGATAAAGTGGAGATACTAGATCTTTCAGATGTGGGAGCTAAATGTGGCTATTTTCCTGACCAAAGGTGGTATTGGGGGGGGGGGGAACAACAACCTGTTTACTAATGGCAGAGAATTTGCCTCATTCCTCCTATGTTGTGTTTATATGATGTAGAGCTATTTCCCTTAGACATTTTTCAGTCCAAGGATAGGGACAGAGATAGGGTTAGGGACCTGTGATTTCATTAATATAGGGAATATCTGGAAGATGAAATTTTTTCTACCCATGTGGGTCAGGAATTTCTTTAAACCTATAGTATCAGAGAGCTCCCTAGGGAATTGACAGGTCGTCAGTGGGTCAGTTAGTCAGTCAATCAACAAGTATTCATTAAGTATTTGGTTTGTTTAAGACACTGTGCTAAGCTCTGGGGATATAAAGAAAGGCAAAAAACAATGACTGCTCTTGAGGAGAGCCAAGGAAACTGTGTGTAAATAACTAGGTTTATATAAGATATAGAAATAGAAGTAATGTAAATGGCGGGTAATCTGAAATGGGAGGGCATTAGCAGCTAGAGGGACTGGGAAAAGCTTCCTGCAAAAGATTGAGTTGAACCTTGAAGGAAGCCAAGGAAATTGAGCATTGGAGCTGAGGGAGTTGAAACATGCAAGCAGGTATGGGGGGCATCAAGTCCAAAGGCATAGAAATGGTACTATTTCAAGGAATGACAAGTAGGCCTGTGTAGTGGTACTGTCAACTAAGGTAGAAGAAGACAGGTAAGGTAGGCAGTGGGAGTCAAATAGATAACTTTATATTTGAGCTTAGAGGAAATAGGGAGCCACAGGGGTCACCGGGCACAATGGTGACACAGTCAGACCTATGCTTTAGAAAAAAAAATCACCTTTGCAGCTGAATGGAGGATGGATGAGAGTAGGGGGAGACCAGTTAGAAGACTGTTGCAATAGTCTAGGTAAGGAGTGATAAGGATCTTAACTAGGGATGTGGTTGTATGAGTGGAGAGAAGGGGACATAAATGATAGACCTTCTGATAGTGGAAAGAACAAGACTTGGAAAGGGATTGGATATATAGGGCGAGTGTGAAATGTCAAGGTTAATGCTGAGATTTCAAGCCTAGGGAACCGGAGGAAGTTGGTATCATTACCAGTAATGAGAAATTTGGGAGGAGAGGATGGTTTTGGGAGAAAGATAATAAGAAAGATGATTCTGTTTTTATCACGTTAAGTTTGAGATACTTATAGGACATCCATTTGAGCTGTCTAGGAGGCAATTGGAGAAGTGTGACTAGCTCTGAAAATATAGATCTGAGAATTGGTTATATAGATCTGGAAATCATCTGTATAGGGATGATAACTGAACTAATGGGAACTCATGAGTCTGTTAAGTGCTAAGCACGTAGGTGGTAGTGGATAGAGTGTTGGGCCTGCTGTCAGGAAGATCTGAGTTCAAATATGGCCACAAACACTTTACTAGCTGTGTGATCCTGGACAAGTCACTAAACCTCGGTTTACCTCAATTGTAAAATAGGAAAATAACCATACCTACCTCGAAGAGTTGTGAGTACTAGTGAGATACTGACTTGCCTTGGGTCAAATAGCCAGAATTGCAGAGATGGGACTTGAACTCAGATCTTCCTGGGTTTGAGGCCAGCTTGTTTTCTGTAGTGCCACATTTACTCTCTTTATAGTTCAAAGGGGTTGTAAATTAACTGCCCAAGTTATTGGGTCAATTCTACAGAGAAGCGAAGAGAAAGTCTAAGGCTCACATTATTGATGAGACGTTGAGAAGAGGTTGAAGGTGAGGGGAGGAGAATGAAGAAGGAGTCCTCGAGATGCCTCATTGCCAGCGCTCTTTGGAAGCTCCAGACGCATGTGCCTTCTATTAGAGAGCACAAGCCATGAGACTCATCATGAGAGCACTGATTGAGTGTAGGGGAGAAATCCTGTATCAACTGCTTTAGAATATAGACTATTTCTGGGTATTACAAAAAAAAGGTGGGGGGAGGGGAACAAGACCCTTTCACCAGAAACTGGAATGGAATTTGATGTTGATTCCTTGTAATATATGTCATATGAAGACTGCTCGAAGGAACCAAGGTGTTTATTCTTAAGAAGAGAAGATAGTGCATATATCCTCACCGTCTTCAAATATTAAAGACAATCTCAGTGGTACTGTAACCTTCATTGATTATAGGGATCATGGGAGAAGGGTTGAGGATATATTGTATGCCTATGCACATTTTGCTTGTAAAATAAAAATATGATGAAGTTGAAAACAACACTGGGCTTTCAGTATGAGCACCCACATTTGACTAGATAAATCCTTTTAGCTTTTTGGACCTCAGTTTCCTCACAAGTAAAAGGGAGCAGTTGGATCAGATAGTAACTAACATTTGCAAGGACCTTTAAAGTTTACAAAGCGCTCTATGAACATTAATTAACTCATTTGAAACTCACAACCACCTTTTGAGGTAGCCTATGTCAGACCTTGGGCCCCTCAAAAAGACACTAGTTGTGTGACCCTGGGCAAATTATTTAACTTCTCTCAGCCTCAGTTTTCTCATCCTCAAAATGAAGGCTTGATGGCCTGTAAGATTACTTCAAGCCCTAAATCAATGGTCCAGTGAAAGGAGGGAATGAAGTTACTGCAGATTCTTTAATGAGGTAATGACATAGTCAGACTTGTATTTGAAGAATGTACATTTTGCTACGATGTGTAGGACGAGTTGGAACAGTAAGATACTACAAGTAAGGAAACAAATTAAGAGGCTATTGCAACGCCCAGGTGAGAGGGTATGAAAGCCTGAATTAAAGTGGTGCCTGTGTGGGTGTGGAATATGTTGTGGAAGTCAAATCAATAAAACTTGGCACATTATTAGATATGGGGGATGGCAGGTTGAGTGAGAGTCAAGGATAACCTGAGGTTGTGAATCTGGACTAGAATGGTGGTGTTGCCCCTAGCAGAAATGGGGAAGTTTGGAGGAGGAATGAGTTTTGGGAGAAATAGAATGCATTTTGTTGCTTTTTCATTGCCTATAGGACTTCCATTTGGGAAATGTGGGACCAAATGATGTAGGACTAAATCTTAAGACAGAGAGTGGGATTGGATAAATAGATCTAGGAGGCATCTGCATAGAAATGATCATTGAACTCCTGGGAGCTGAAAACATCATGAGGATTAGAGAAGAGGAGCAGATAGAACCTTGGGAGAGAGCTACAATTAATGGGTTAGAGGAGGATGGTAGTCTGGCAGAAGAGACTGAAAAGGAGTGGACAGAAAGCTAAGAAGATCGTAAAGAAAGAGCTAAAGAAGGAGGCTGTATCTAGGAGGAGGGAGTGGTCAACAGGGTCAACAATTTTGACTGCTGGGAAGTACATGGATTGAGAAAAGGTCATTGGATTTAGTCATTGAGGTATCATCGGTACCCTCATAGAGGGCAGTTTTTGTCTAGTGATTGAGTTGAAGGTCAGATTACAAGGTGTTTAGAAATGAATGCAAGGTAAGGAAATAGAGGCAATGACTATAAACCATTATTTATAGGAGTTTGGCTGAGAAGAGAAGAGAGTCAAAAGAAGGAGATGATTGGGTAAGACATAAAGAAAAGAGAGCTAGACAGCTGAGGCAATGGCAAGATCAAAGAAAGTCTTGGGGTTTTTTTTTTTTTAGGATGGGGAAGACTTGGGCCTCTTTGTAGGCAGTAGAGAAAGAGTCAATGGGTTTGGAGAGACTGAAGATGAGATAAAGAGAGGGAAAGATTATGTTAGCATGTTCCTGGGACAGAAAGAGATGGGATCAGATCAGAAGGGGAGGGATTAGTTTTGTCAAGAAGGTTCGCATCTTTCCTTGGAGATGGAAGTAATGGCAAAATGAGCAGAAAAGGATGAGAAGGTGTTTGAGTGTGTGGAGTGGGGGAAAAGTGGGAGCACACAACACATTGTGTACATGTGTACAGAGGAATGTAAGCTCCTTGAGGACAAGTGTTGGTTTGTTTTTACATTTGTATCCCCAGCACCTTGCATAGAACCTGGGAACATATTAGGTGCTTAATAAATGAACATTAAATGAATAATGGTTTTATTTTCTCAGGGACATAGAAGGTCATTGCCTCTACCAAGAGAGGGGAAGGAGGGAATAATGTAGGAGGTATGAATTGGAGATAAGAAGGTTTGGATAGCCACTGTGGATGGTGTGACAGTCCATCAGGGGGCAACTGAAGGATTGCCATGAAGAAATGAGGGCAAATTTAGTGATCTTGATTAGATAATGAATTTGTAGTGATCCTAATTGGCATAATTATATGACTTCCTTCAGTATATTCAGCATCATGTAAATAGGAATAGAGGAAGGTAACTCAGGGTTGTGGTTTAACAAAGCATGTCTGGAGACAGGACAAATAGGTCAAGGGGGCCTATGTGTAGTTGATAAAGGAATGTTTAACTAGTTAATCATAGGATCAGGATTATTAAAGAGGGAAGGGAAACCAGGGTTGGAGTGGTGGAGGTACTGGAGGTCA